GGGCCAGAGTTGGGGAGCTGGACCTCATGGGTGCAACTGGGGGGGGAGGCTCAGCCGAAGCCGTCAGTGGGACCCAGAGTGGAGAAGCAGTGTCACCGTCCTTGGCACGGGCTCAGCTCGCAGCCAGGGGCGTTCAGGTACAGCCCCAAGCTCCATCCACCCCCCCTGAAATCCAGCCAGGGGAGGGAGTCAGCAAGGGGCCTGCAGCCCAGCTCCCTCCAGAGGCAGGGAATCAAACACCAGCGCCCTCCGCTCCCCTCCGCAGAGGGGCGCTGGGCATGGCACAGCATGAATAAGCCACTCCCTGGCCCTGAAGCATGACGGGTGCTCCCCCACATCATGGGGAAACTGAGGCACAACGTGATAGTGAGCCAGTGGCAGAGCTGGGAGAGGTACCCCAGAGGCCTGCCTCCTACCCACTAGGCCACACAGCCCTCCTACTGAACGCTGACACTGGGGGGGATGGAGGGGGGGCTGGATCTCGCCTGCAGGGAAGATGCCAGGGGTGTCCCCAGGGCCACAACCAGGATGTGGCAGGGCCCGAGTGCGAGTCTAGGTGGCCTATGGACTTGCAGGAGGGTGCTGGGGCAGCCCTGGGTGGCACAGAGCATAAAGCCCGGATCTGCTGGCAGAGGAGAGGGCTGCTTTGATGCGGGGAGCAGAGCCAGGCGGCACCCAGAGGGACCCTCCATGCATCCCACGGAGCCACCGGCTGCTTACAGGTGGCAGCTTGTGATGCTATACGGGAGGTGGGACAGAGGGGCTGAGCCAGGGCGGCGCGGGGCTCGGAGCTGGCATCCCAGGGCCGCGCAGCTCTGCAACGGGCAACCCTGCAGCTAGGCAAGACGTGGGGCAAAGGTCGAGTGCGGGGATCGAGAGGAGGTAGAAAGAGAGGCCCGTGGCGGGCAGGAGAGCCGGAGAGACCAGAGAGGGAGGTCCGGGAACCACGGGCAGGGGCTGGGAGCAGGGGACAGGACGAGGGGATGGGGCCAGGGCTCCGGACACTCACGATGCCGGTGGCTTTGGCGACGTCGGGGTTGTTGTGGCCGAAGCTGCCGCTGTGGCTGGTGGAGACCGTGTTCTGCCGCTTGCTGCTGAGCCCCACGGCGTCCATGGACTGGCTGCGGCTGCGGATCACACGCTGCAAGGGAAAGCCGCGGCCATCACCCGCCATGGCTCCCCGCGGTGCTGGCCCGGGCACGGCGGAAGAGGCTGGGGGAGCCCAGCCGAAGGGCTCGGAGAGGGACTCGGAGTCTGAGCCAAGGGGGTCCCGGCTCGGCTACTGCCCTCATCCAGCTGGGCTGGGGCAGGGCTGGACCGCAGGCTCTGCAGGGGGGTCACGCACGTGGGAGCCGAGCCCCGGGGGAAGCCAGCGCCTGCCCCTCTCACCTTGAAGGACTCGAAGAAGCCCCCGCCGCCCCCGCCGCCGTTCTCCATCTTGTCCTCATCCCCGCCCAGGCCCATCATGGACTGGCTGTTGACGTGCAGCTCCTCGTACAGCGTCTCCAGCAGCGCCGCCCGCGTGCGCTCCTGCCGCGCGGGAGAGGGGTGCGTGAGGGGTCCCCGCAGGGGGCAGTGGCGATACGGGAGGGAAGGGGCGACAGCTTGGCTACGGGGGGCAGGCACCGCGGTCCACCCCCACCCTCTCTGCCATGACGTGCCCATCGACCCTCAAGCTCACGGAAAGAGCGACAGGAGCCGCGAGCGATGCAGGGAGCGGGCTGCTGGGAGGGAGGGCAGTTAAGGCAGGTGCTTCGATGATGCCCCCCCAGGGACACGGCCCCAAGGGCCAGGCCGGGCCCGGCGGGGCTCACCTCCAGCTTGGCGAACTTCTCAGCTTTGTAGCAGGCGTACTCCGCGTTGATCAGCTTGGTGAGCAGGAACTCCTGGAAATCGGTGCCCTGGGGACCCGCCCAAGAGGGGGTTAACCCCGAGCCCCCAGCTGCACGCTACACACGGGACCCCGCTCCTGCCTGTTCGGGCTCTGACCCACCCAGCGCTCCCCGCCCCGGCAGTCCAGGCGGATGAGCGGGTGCATGCTGGCCCGTGCGACGGCCGCCTGGTGCCTTACCTTTCTGAAGATGGCTGGGTCTGGCAGCGGGGGGCCGAAGAAAGGCACGTCGTCCCGGGCTGTGACAGAGACCTGCAATGCACAGAGCGCGGCCGCGGGGCTGTTGGTCTGGCTGACGGCAGGTCGGGATGTCCGTGCAAGACGCCTTGATCCATAAGCTGCCTAGTCCCTAGCCCCGTCTCAGCCCCGGTGCAACCAGACAGGCCTTCACAGAGCCCAGGGGGAGCCCCTCATGGACCCCCCGCTGCATCGCCAGCAGGGCCCAGCCCATCAGGGCTCTTCCTCCGGGCGTTACTGAGACCCCTCAGCAGGGACCCACAGCAGGTTATCTCCCCTCCCGGGGCTGTTGAGAGCAGACAGCCCGGGGTGCCTCTGGAAGGAGGTCCAATCCCCGCCAGTCCCTCTGAGCCAGTGCCAGACTGGCTCGTGCCAGACTTTAGGCTTAAGAGTCTCTGCAGCACCTGGGCTTGGTCTCCGGGCAGCGTTAGGAGGGCACAGGGTGGTGGACAGGGCTCTTTAATCCTTTCTAGGCTGGGAGGCAATGATCACCCCTTCTGCCCCTTGGTTTAGGACTCAGAACTCTTTACAACCAGGTGTATTGTCATCCTCCCGGGGGGAAACTGAGGCACGGACAAACAGGCACACACGCTCTGTCCCACACACCAAAGCAGTGAGCAGCAGGGCTTGAAACAGGACCCAGGGGTCCTGGCTTTCCTATTCCCTGCCAAAATGAGTAGACCCCACTCTGGCCCCAGAGTCCTTGGGAGTCCTGAACCCCTGCTCGTGACGCAGCAGGACCACCTCCACTGCTCCCAGAGGCTGAGGCTCAGCCCCTAGGTCCCTGCCACAGGCCATACCTGGGTGGTATAAGGGGCCAGGCCCGGGCTGCCCCGCGGGGCCCTCACCTTGTAGAGGGTGTTGTCGGAGCAGGGGCTCTCCACCTGCACCACGATGTAGGCGTGCAGGAAGTTGGAGGCGATCATGTCTGGCACAAATGGTGTGTTCTCGTCCTGGAAGACGATGGCCACGATGTCATTGCCTATGTGCCTCTTCCTCTGCAACTGAGTGCACGAGCAGGGGGGTCATTTTCCAGGCTTGGAGGAGAGCTTTGGAGCCCCAGCACCAGCCCCAACAGCAAGCCGGGGCCCCAGGCCACACGGATGAGGTAGGGGGGCAGGCTGGGGCGTGTGCCAGGGAGACTGGGGGGATGCTGGAGGGGCAAGGAACAGCAGGGTTCCCCCCGGTCCCTGCCCCACTGGCAGCCTGACCCCCTATTTCACCCCCGGGCATGGCCTTGGCCTCTCACAAACTGAGAGTGACTGTAGCACGCGTGTTTGGGTGTGCACATTGAGTCATGCATGTGCAGAACAAGGGCTATGCTCCCCCCTGGAAGGGGTCAGGCTGGCTGGAGCAAACCCCTGCATGCACGTGCAAGTGCACGCGTGTGCAGATTGTGTCGGGCCCGGTGGCGCTCCCTTACCTGCTGGGCGTCCCCCTCGGTGTACGGCAGCTTGGTGGACACGTGGAACATGATCTCCTTGTTGCGGAAATTGCAGTAGACGGACTCGGTCCCTGTCTGCCCGTGGGTCACGTCCAGCCCGCCCCGGAACCTGCCCCCGGGCACACACGGGCCTCAGGCGGGGGCCAGCCGTCCGCAGCCCCCCTGCCCACCCACGGCCGCAGACAGCAGCGCCAGGCCCAGGTCAGCACCTCCGGGACGATGCCGCCCTCCCCTCCGCGGCTCCAGGCTGGCGGGGGCAGAGGGAGCTCGCTCACCCCTTGAAATCCTGCAGCTTCACCTTCTGGCCCAGGAACTCGAGGAACTCCACGAAGGCCGGGCTCTCCTCATTGGTGCTGAACAGCTCCTCCTCTGACGTCTGCAAGAGCCCGGCACGCGGAGGGCTTGCACGGGGGCCGGCAAGCTCTGCCCAGGGCCCCCCTGGCTGGGAGCGGGGCTGGAGGGGGAGGCCAGGCAGCCACCCAAGGAGCTGCTGGGCGAGATGCTCCTTGCGGGGCCGGGATGGGGAAGGAGACCATCTGCATTGTCCCCGAAGCAAAGTGTGGGGGAATCGGACTCTGCTGAGTGAATCCACCCTCCCACCGGCTGCACAGGGCCGTTCCTCAGCTGGGGAAACTGAGGCACAATGCCAGAACCTAACAGCTGGCATCCCAGGGCAGGGCAGGGCAGGGCAGGGCAGGGCAGGGCAGGGGGCCAGCTAGCCCCACCACGGAGGGGGACCTGCTGTTCCAGGCGGGCTCGGCCCACGGTCATCGGGCAGCGAGCAGGCCTGCCTCCGACAGTCCACGCGGCCCCAGAGGGGGTCACGCACAGCCCCCAGGCTCCTAGTACCGGTGTGCAGCAGCATGGCTGGCCGCCTGGAGCACGTGGGGCCAGGATGCGTGCAGCCCCCCGCCACGCAGACTTTGTTGGAGAGGGAGAGCACGCCCTGGCTGCGGTGCTGAGTACCCCAGTGAGCCTGACCTCCCTTCCTCCAGTGCCTGGCAGAGAGTTGCTTAGGTGCTGGGCCTTTCCCATGTCTCCTTGGGACCCTCGTGCTGGTCTTGGGAGACGTGGGAAAGGAAGGTCCCCATCCTGCACCTTGGAAAGCCGCTTGCAAAGGGCCAAGCAGGTTCCCTGGCCTGCAATTCCCAGCTGCAACTGCCAGGGGGTGCTGCCACCCTAAAAAAACCTGTCGGGGGGCACAGGGGGCCGGTGGCCATCTCTTTAACCCTTCCTTTGCTGGAGGGGTCCTGATCTGCTGCCCTCACTGCTCAAAGGGGTGATAGCCCCAGTGCTCGCAAACACCCGGAGTGGTGCCAGGCCCCAGGGACCGATTGGCCCCGGCAGTGGCTGCACGCACCCACCTGGCCCAGCTTCTGGTAGATGACACCGAACTTGAAGTTATTGCTGATGACGTGCTCGTCGAAGGAGACGATGAGGCGGGAGGCCTGCAGGACAGGGGGAGGCTGGTGAGTTCATGGGCATTGCACTAGCAAGAGGGACCCGCCTCAGGGCTGGGGTGGGGGGCACGCGTGTGCATGTGTGCACATGTGTGCGATGGGGAGGGGGCCCCTGTGGGAACCAGAAAGCCCGTATTTGTTTCTGCCCAGGAAAGGGGAAAGCTTCCACCTGCTCTGGCTGTTGCCACTACAGAGCTGAGCCCTGAAGCTTGTGCCCCCTGCCTACCTTTGGGTACAGCACAGGGTAGAAGCGGTCCACGTTCACATCCTCGCACACCAGCTGCAAGAGGAGAGAGTGGGAAAGGGCGCATGCCATCACAGGGGACCCGCTCTGCTCTCCCACCCCAAGGTCACTTGGG